CGTGAGCACTGGAGCTAGGTCCAATTAAAAAGTCAAGCCAGGCTGTATCCGAAGCCCAGCTAAACTGTGCATTCAAGCATAGTGAGCGTTGCTGGTTAAAGAAATGTACTGAGCCGAGATTGGCTGTTTCATTGTTCTTCATCACATGCCATTACACCACTATTCGTATTTTAGATTTTGATGAAGCATGAGAAGGATTTTCAGTTCCTTCAAAACTGAGTAGTGGAGCAGGAAGAACAAATGTCATGGACATCCCTAAAGACGGCACACATAAAAAGAGCCATATGGGCTAAAAGTGGGGGTAGAATCGTGCGGGGAACTGGCTCCTCTCCCCCTCTGCTCTGTTGGAGAATTTTTTCTAAACAAGGTATGGAATGCACTCCTGTGTTTCATAATTTGTTCCCTCATTCTTCTCCTCTGCACATTTACAAACAGAGTTCTGAGGCAGAGAAGAAAAAGAGAGTGAAGGAGTGTGGGGGCGATGGAAGCCCTGGAAGTATGTCAAGGCAAGAACGTTTATTCGAGTAAAACAGAAGGAAGAACGAGCTGTGAAAAAGGATGGAGTATGAAAATAGTGAAAAGGGGAAAGACATGATTAATAACACAGCTGATTGACTACGTGCTGACCACACCGAGAAAAGGGGGTGAGGAGAGGGTGGGAGAAAAAGAGTGGAAATGACATTTGCCCCCAGAGTGATCTTAATGCTCCACTTGATGCTCCCATTCCAAAATTTAGAGCAGTGGATTTCTCCATCCAGCTGGGAGACTGGAAACAGTGGGTTAGTTTAGGCTACTCTTCTTTTCCCCTCTCTATATTTCTTTCTGTTCTCCCTTTTTCTCTTTTGCATGGGAGGAGGAGAGAGACAATATGGAGGAGCTGGGTCCCAGACCAGAGAGGAGACAGGGGGTTGGGTGGGAGGGCACAAGAAGATGACGAGGTAGAGGGTGGGCAAAGTTTAAAAATATCTCTGACAGCCGAACGCAAGGCTGGACTACAGCGCTCCAACATACCTTCAATTTCAGCTATTTTTGTTGCTTTTTCCATAATGTCTGAAGTCTGCCTTATAAGCTGATGACAGAGAATGTTCTCTGGCTAAGACATAAAAAGACCCGCCGGTTCAGTCACAGCAATTTTCCCCACCATTTGCCAGCAGTGCTGCTTTCTGTCAAAAGCTCAGTGTGTTATCAGCGCGTATCCATACGTTGTGGGAGTCGTAGGTTAGCAAAGGGAAACCTGGGGGACATCTGAAAACAACCCCGCCAACGCATCACACTGAGCCCTTCCAACTCCAGGGTCTGCTACACATCATCCCCTCTGACTAATCTGTGAGGGGTAACTGGACAAAAAATTCCAACAATGTTCAACTTTTTTTTTTTTTTGCTTTAAACCAATGAGCCATCTGTTCCAATCACTGTCTGCCTTTGATTATACTTTGTCCGTGGCATGTTAATAATCACGCAGCACACTTAAACGCGGTATGTCGCAAATGATGCTGTTGTTGCAAATTTGCCCTCCACTGCCTTAAAGCCAAACGTTTCATTTGGCTGTTTTGAAACTGAGTTTAATGAGCGTGCATTCGTTTTTGCTTGCATGCATCTGAGCAGTGAATATTGACATGCATGCACATGCAACAAAGTGTGAGGCACCTATGATCCCATTAAATGGCCTTTTATTCAAAACGATCGTGCCTGTTTTTTTTTTTACATGTTCTATTTATACTGTTATGCTCTGTATCTTTGCCATTCAACCATGTAAATAAAGCATGTATCTATGTGTGTGTGTGTGTGTGTGTGTATGTCCGTCTGTATTTGCTGTGGGGGATCCTTGTCCTTACTCACTGCATGCATGAGTCAACATCAGCCCTGTTACTCACAAATAAAGGCATCCTCAGATGAAAATAGAACATACAGTATATTGTACAGACGCATATAACAGCACAGATCTTTTCTTGCTTCAGTTAAAAAGGAAATTAGAGATGTATGTATGGTAAGACAGCGAAAAGATGAAGACACAGATGGATTCATAAAGGTAATTCTATTGCCATGCAAATGCTGCCTGCTGCTAAGTCATCTACAGCCCTCATCGCACTGAGAATGGGCAAACCTGCCTTAAACCTAGGCTGGGGAATAGAGCAAGTCAGAACTATGAAGAAAAGACCAATATGTTATGAGGTTTATGAACACGTGTGTTTGTATAAGAAAGAGAGACTAAGGTTGAGGGTGGTTTGAGTCTCAGAGCCTAAATCTCCCTTTTTTTTATTCCAGCAAGAAAAATCCTCTTGCTTTAATCTTAAGAGGGATAACGCATTTTGTAAGACATTTATAGATTAAATTGTGTCTTAAAATAAAACTAAATCATCCCTGTGCCTTCAAATATGTTGATGAATATGTTTTATGGAATGTTATGTAATTTAAGTCCATGGTTTGTATTACATATCCAAACCCTTTTATGTTTTTTAAATGGACTGCGCAGCAAAGATATGCCAAAAATATAACAGTAATCACCTTACAATAAACCAGTTGTGTTTGCCTTCAAAAGGTGTTGAAAGAGACTAAATGTTTTAATCTGTGTGTGTGTTTGCCATCATGACACCCTTCCTCTGTCAAAGAAAGAGCTATGCCCCTACTCCACACTTATCTTTGTCTTTTAAGTGGGACTGCCTGCCCAGGCAGCATTTCAAATGGACTTCTGCTGGGATCACAAATATTATTTTGTGTGAGGGAGGCATACAGATAAAAGAACATGACGTGTTATTGACTGTGCTGGATTAGAATCCATTCTTAATATAATTGTTGATATGGAAATTAGGTGTTGTCAGAGCCATTATCAAAGCTCTGTGCAGTATTGTATTAGAATGCATTCCTTTGTTTGAGAATCTGTTTGAGTTTTATTAAACAGGGATGGGTTCAATGCCATGCTGGCTGATTGGATTTTTAAGAGCAATACAACCATTGTTTCCATTATCATTTGAATAACAATTTTCTGAAACGGTCCAGCCGGGTATTTCTTGTCGTATCAGCAGATTGCTTTTCCTACCTCTGGCTTATGATTTTAGACTGACTGTTGGCATTGTAAGACAAACGCACACCATCTATTTCAAAGTGGTTCGTGAACAGTCTTTGCTGGGAAACGGGCCTTGCTAATGGTCCACTGGCAGCCAATCAGCTAATGCGATGTGCACGGGAGAGCTAAAATGATACATGCTTTTGTTTTCCATGTGCCCATCTGCCCACCTGTCTATCACTCTGCTGCTCTCCATCACAATGAGCAATAATCCCTGGCCTCCCCCCACACTGTTTGTGTATGTCATATTTTTCCTTAAGCCTTATTCTTTACACCCTCTAATTCTTCTCAGTTCTATAACAAACATGACACCTTCTCTCTGCTGCTTGTGGTTTTGTACATACTTAAACATTTTGGGGCAGAGTAGTCTGCATGGGCCTTTGATTTGCCTTCTGTCACCTCTGGGAAAAAAGTTTTTTTTAGGACGTAGCACTACTATTTATCCTATTCTGTGCGTGAAGGGAAATCTAAACGTTCTCTTCCTCACACTTTTAAATATTGTATTGTCTATTCTCATATTGGATCAACAACTCACTTGTCAATGACTGTTGATTAAAAAATTCTGGACTGTCCGAATAATGTGCTTACATTAAGTTGGTTTAGGCTTCCTTTAATAGCTCGAAATGTTTAATTCCTCCAATCCCTTCACATGTTTATATATTATGAGTTAAGTGTGTGTGTATTTGCTATGATAACATGCTGAAGGTACAGTGAGGGAGCGGCTGACGATGAAAAAGGAGAATATCCATTACATAAGAGATTAAAGTGAAAAAAATCTAAGGTATGCATCCAACAACGCCGGCCAATAATATGAAAGCCGACTTCATGAAGCCCCCCTAAGTACAAAGCCTCAATGGGTAGCCCCACTGTACATGCCTTTGATGTGGGCTTGTAAAAGGGAACAAACACACAGCGGGATAGCATATAACGCTATTAGACACTGTTGTTGTTTTAACATTGCCTTGGGCCACCAGGGCAGAGGTCGTGTGCATGTGTACAAGACAGCAACAGAGACAGAAGCAGCTGCTCAACACCAAACAGGCCAGGGAGGGACATTTTGATGCCTTATTTTTTCTGTTCTCAGCAAAACGTTACAGTGAGTCCTGAGTTTTGTATAAACTGTAAATAAACTGTGCCAAACTGTATGTGCCAGCCAACCAAGTTGTTCCTAAAAAAACCTGTGCCACTCGCTGCTCTTATTTAAACGCAGCATTGTAATGTAGCGCCGCTATTTCTGCTTCGCTTCAGTCCAGCAAAAAGCAGAGTTTGGGAAAGACAGCGAGGGGGTAGAGGTAGCGCGCGTGTGTGTGTGTGTGTGTGTGTTGGGGTGGAGATTACTGCTGTTTTGTTCAACTCTCACTGTTTGGGGGAGAGGAATGTTTCAGAGTAGCTCGGCCTCTCTGTGTGTCTCATCTATCCACGTGCTGCACATAACCTTATGACACACTCAGCATCATGAAAAGGGTCACTTTTCCAAATCAGCTACCCCCAACCCTACACACACACGCACACACACGCACACACACACACAAACTTGTCTTCCCTCTCTCTTTTTAAGGGAAGAATGTGTGGTGCACCTCCTTTTCCTGTTCCTGTATTTTCCTGTATTAATCTATAGGAGGGATACGTTTTTTCCTGCTGTGGTGTGTAGGTTACATACATCTGTTGCATATCGAGAGGAGGAGGTTGATGTAGGACGTATAATGTTATATGTTCACCTAAAGGAAAGAGAGATTTTTCTTTTTTTTTTACGCAGGCCAGTAGAAGCATGTGAAAAATGTGAAAGAGATTAGTTTTTTTGAGGTGCTGCTTCAGTTTAATGAGATCTGTTCAAGCTGCCACACACGCACACGTACACACAGGAACAGAAACGTAAACACATGGAGACCAAACCGACACTGGCCACGCTGAGCTGAATGAAGAGTTTGATACTGACCTCTGACTCTGGCATAGCAGCAGCCACACTTGACCAGGACTTTTCGGAACAAGTGTTGGCAGCCACAGCCCCGGTGGTGGCGGTGGTGATGGTGGCCCCCTTTCATGCTGTTGAACCATGAGCAGAGGCGGGCATGGCCCGGGACTTTATCTCTCTGCCCCCCACCTCTCTTTCTGAGGTCTACTCCTCAGAGTGCCAATCCCCCAAAAGGTGTCAGCTGATCGTCCCCTTGAGTTGACTGCAAACAGAGCTCAAGCTCACATCCAGGAGACAGGAGAGTCCACAAAAGCAGCTGGCAAGAGGAACATCCACACAGACGCGGTGGTTCTAAAGCAAACAAAATATTCCAGACAGCTTTTCTTTGGGCTGAATGTGCTCCCTTCGCTCTGTCTCTGTTTGTTCCTCTGCTTTCTTTTTGGTGCTGAGCTCTCGCCTCTATGAACTGCCTGGTCAAATGACAGTCTGGGAGACTGCTTCGGAGAGCGCGAGAGAGAGAGGGAGGGAGAGAGAGAGAGAGAGAGAGATAGCCGGGGAGAGATAGAAAGAGTAAGGGGAGGGGTGAAAAGGGTGGAGTCTGCAGCTCTAGTTGCTGACTATTCCAGGATAAGGTTCCCACTCCCCCGGTTTTTTCTTTTTCCTGTCTACTGTTGTTCTCTTCCCTCCTCTCAGCTGTTTTTCTCTGCCCCCCACCTCCTCCATTTCCTCTCTGGTCAGCTGCCCCCCCCCCCATCTAGTCTGTTATCCTCTTTTCTACATGATTGAGCCTCATTGTGGCATAGGTAATGCAAAGAGGATCCCTGAGACATCCAACTCATAAAAAGAGGTGAAATGACACGCTCTCTTATGTCCACTCAGCACTGGAAATAGTAACACCCAGGTCAGCGGTGATGTGTACGGCTATTTACAGGCCCTGGACTATGTTAGGCTGAAGGTGGCACGTACTGTCCGGAAAGTGTGTCGCCGTCAAAGTGTTACGCTTTAGTGTGTTTAGGAGCGTGTTCTCGTGAGCACGTGGATCATAGTGAACTTCCCCGTCTCATACAGAGCCAGTACTGAGTGGACTGTTTGAAAGTGACCGTCAAGGCAGAACAGTGGATCTTTTTTGCTCTTTACTTTACAGTCTCATATTTCACAAATAGATGCTGTTACTCTTGCTCTGAGTATATGTTCACAAGGTGTGTAATTTGTCATGCAGCTTGATCATTTACTTTCATACACAGTTGAGCATTTCAGCCAAAAATAAATACATTTCAGGAAAAATCAGCTTAGTTTTTGGCCCATCACATCGTGAGTATGGGAAAGAAGCTAGTTTTTTCAACTTGGTTTTAAAATAATTTATTTTAAAAGGGAAAAGCAAAAATAAATAGGAATAATTACGGACAAAAATTCTGTGAACAGTTGTTTGGATTTGGAAAATACATGGTTTGTGCACCCCATTGTTATCTAAAACACAATAATAAAACTCAATTTCCTCTGTCTGAATGAGTCCCTGACCTTTCTCAGAAGTGGTGGCCTCATCACTATTGCCTACGGCACAACTTGCTGCGCTGCTAACCGAGCAGGCAGGCCTTACAGATGTAAAACCAGTTGAACTTCTTAGTGTTGTATAATCAATGGAGGGCAACGATTGCCTCTGTCCATACTTCTGACAATATCTAAACATGTGGCTTTGTGCTGTGTAAAGGGTTCATATATTTCTGTGAGATCAGACATCACATAATCAGAAACATTTCCAGCGAAATGCACAAAGGCACACCAGCAAGAAGTCAGCCCGTGAATACAGGAGGGGTGGTGGTAGAAAAAGATACAGGAATTATCCAACATGCCAAAGATTCCCTTCTGCAGAGGTTATTGTAGTCATCCCATTATTTTTCAAACGCTTATAAACTAGATACAAAGAGTCCAAAGAGTACTACATGTGCAGAGGTGTGTGTGCTGACCTATGTGTTTTACCCCAGTGACAACGGTCACAAACTGCTCTTGTTCAAGTATTTGGTCCTGAGCAGAAGCCCACATCCGTTACATGACTTCACTCAAAATGTATTTTTCTCATGAGCATTTTACCCAGGTTTTGATGACTGAGCTTTGATGAAGTTTTTCGTTATAAAAAGCAGCGAAGACTGTGTCATTACCAACACTAAACAAACCATATTTGGGTGTAAACTATACACTCAAAGTATATTACACGAAATGTTTGCCGGTTTTATTTGAGGTTTTCGAACCTTTTAGTAAAGCAAGATCACTTAATGAATACATCAAGGTAATCTTGAAAAATAATCTTCAGAAAGGAGCAGCAGAATGGTTTTATGACATTCCATGACCTCCATCCACTCATTTTCTGACCAGCTATCAGCACTGTCAAGTCTGAAGCCGATGGGTTTACGACACACTGTGTGATCTCATCTCAGCTTTGCAGCATGTAGAACACCATGTTGTTTTCCATACCAAAATCCAGCTGTGCGTAAATCACCACCTGATTGCTGTCACATAGACAGCCACATTACAGCATCCATTCAGGTTCATCTTTGGGGGCACAAATGGAAATGGCTCAGTACTGGCACTAAACCACCGTGCACACATGAGCACACTGACAAGTGCTTCTGCGGTTGGCAGAGCTGTCTCCACAGCATCCGTCTCTCCACAGTGACTGCTGTCGGAATATCTCCGTCATCCACAGGTAACAGAGAAGCTGGGTTACCTCAGCCATTACACTCATAAACCATAGCACACACATACACACACACACACACACACACACACACACAGTAACATCCAGCGACTTTCTGACCATGCCTGTGTCTTTTCCATTTTTTTAAAACAAAAAGAAACTTAAAGCAGGTACAGCATGTATGAAAAGAAACCCAACAGATACTGACATTTCTTCCATTTTCAGGCTCTGTTAGCACACTGACTGTCTATATTCCCAACCCATCACAGATCTCCTCCCTCTCACTCTCTACTTCCCTGCCTCTCCATTTCTTTGCTTATAATGTATGCTGTAGGGGGCTGGGATTGAAGGGGAAAAACGAGCAGCACGACTGAAAATCTCAGTCAGTTTGTCTGATTGTAATGTAATTTCCATATTCTGTTTAAGAGGGCTGTGCAACAATAACATCAGAACAGAAGTTTTTCCCACCAAGGTAAAAGTTTGAAGGTAAAACATTGCAAGCAAAGTAAATTGTGCCTCTGTGAACCCGTCTTCCAGGCAATTTTCAAGATGTTTTTTATCGGTTTATAGTGCTTTCTACAACTACTTACTTATATCTCATGAGAACACGTTTCTCTATTTTCTCCACCATATTAGTCCGATAGGTTTGGATGAATGCAAAAAAAAAATCAAAGCATGACCAAATGTGAAACAATTTCTTTCTTTTTTACCTTTGTGGCTCCTGATGTGACCCTGAAAGCAGCACTGCAAATGTGCCTGAGTTTTGCAAAGATGAACGTTTAACTTGTCAGAGTTATTCTTCAGTAAATCTTTAAAAAGAACAGATGAATGTTTAGCAGAAGTAGTGAAAGACTGACCGACAATTTTCTCCACGAAAACTATGACTTTTTTTTCTTGTCACCCATTTATCATGATCCCTTAAACTCATCTCATGTCTTAGGTTGAACAAAAATGCTTGTTAATTTATTTAAAACAGCTTTTTCCAGTTTACAGAGGAAACATTCTGTGTGCACACCAATACGTTTGTATTACTATTCTCATGTCAGTGAGAGGGACAAGAATACTGTGACTCTGAAGTCCAAAACATGGTGGCAAAACATATCATGTCAGCAGCATGAAACAGGAACCACCGAAGCACCTATGAATAAATATTTCATGTCTGTGTGTGTGAGTTAAATCATTGGTGCATCTACTGTTGACTGTTTTTTCTAAAAAATCATTTTGAGATTTTCTGAATTTCTTTTCTTTTTCACAGATAAAACATTTGAAAAAATTATACCTTTTTGTCTATTTTTCCAGCAAGATTTTAAAATTATAGCTGAACATTGACATACTTAATGGATGAATCTAATCCACTGGTGTCATTGAGTATAGGAAAAGTAATGGCCACATCTGACATGTGGTCTTCAAACTAAATACCCATCTTTCTGACTGAAATGTCTTTTTCCTTGCTTCATCCTTGACACTCAACTTCCACTGTTTGGAATGAAGCCTTCTATAACTGAAAACCAAAATTAGCTCAGCAGACGTGCAAAGCTGTGAATGTTGAGAGAAATATGGAAAAAATGTTCCTCCTCTGGCTTGCAGGGAGAAGCGGGGGATGTGAGGTGAGGCTTGCATTAACACACATTCATCTCTCTTCTTTTATCTCTCCTCCTGACTCCTTGGCTCCTTCCCTCTCTCTGCATCTCCCACACACACATACTAAAGATGATTCATCTGCACTCATGGGCTTGGGTAGATGTGGATGACTGAAGAAATTCTATGCATGCATATTTACAGAACAGCACTTAAAGGCTTTTCTATAGACTTGGCACGCGAGGAAATAGAGCAGCGTGATCAATTTTCTACTTTAGTTAAGCAGAGGAAAAGGAATTCATGTGTGTTCACTGGGAATCTAAATTGTGATGTTTGATTATAAATGAGCTCGTACAAGTAAATGCAATTGCAAGAAGTTCTCTTCCACAGATTGTTGACTTGTATTCTGTGCTCTGACTTAAGCTACGGAATGAGTTTGCGTACTGAAGTAGGTACAGCAAGTCCCAGTTCAGCAGAAATACAGTTGCTTACTCACAGTGTGTTCCCCAACCCCCCATAGACATTAGCCTCTCCTCACCCCATCAGGCAGTTGAAATCCTGCCAAAATATGCTCACTTTGATTTTCCTACCTCCTTCTCCCTAATTTTTCCGTCTCAGTTTCTCTCCCTATCTGTTTTCGTCCCTCCCTTCATTTTCTTATAGCTAGACGCCAATTAAGGCAAACGGGCATTCTGGACAAGCTGTTTTGTGGGGGAGGCTGATTTTTTTTTTTACGCTGAAGTTTTTTTGGCTGTGTTCCAATAACCAAGATGAAGTCAAGGAGTGACTGTGCTGTTCTTTTCTTTTCTGTTCTTTTGTCCAATTAGATTACACTACACTGCAAGCCCACAGTGTGACACACAGGTGTGTGTGTGTGGGTGTTCGTGCAGTCTGTGTGAGTGCTACGCAGTACCTGCCTCATCAGGCGGTGCTTCACAGGCAGCGTGAGACTGACACAGCACATAGGGGAGGTGCACCACCCATGTAGACTTGTTTCTCATAACATTCACAATGCTAACACCCCACCCACAATTACAAGCGCACACACAAAGATCTCTACACGTACGAATACATGCTCCTTTCCCAATCAAGCTGTTTTATTCCCCGTGACCAGGGATAATACTTAAAATGAAGCAGGAAAGATTTTTCTTCCACTACCTGGCTTCCAGCATCCTAGTTTCTCATCCTCTCAAGAGGCTGGACTGTGAATGTTGTCCCAGAGGCAGCTGGCTGTGCGCAGGGCTTTAGTCGGATCTAAAACACACGCCTAATGACAAGACGTTAATCATGCAACTGAATTTGCATGATTGACATGCAAATGTAAATAATAATGTAATAAACTAATACATTATCACTATAAATCAAATGTTGAATGTGAGGCCTTTTATGCATCTGCAGCGCTTGACAAAAAGTTGGGAGCAGTCCACAATGGCCACTGTGTAATATTGATCAGTTGCTGGATCTTTGGGGGAGGAAAGTTGTTCCATTTTTGTTTAATGTTAGATTCTAGCTTCTAGGTACTCCAAAGCACTCGATTGTTTCATTTTTAATCGTCCCGTGTTGTGTCAGATGCAGATTTTGGAAATGATAGTTGATTGTCACCCTCTTCTTAAATACAAAACAAAATGTATCTACAGAACAATTTATCTACATTTTAAATGGCATCCTGGCAGTTTTGGGTTTCTTTGTTGCTCTAAGTGTGTGTGACAAGTTTTTGGCTATTGACATTAATGTTCATGATGTAAAATATGTAAATGTTTTCATATGTGTGAGTCTACAGTTGCATTTACTGTATGTATCTCATTTACCTGCCATCTATTTTATTTTGGGTGTAAATCTCTGCTGTCCTGTGGTTGAGTGATATGTGAAGTCTGAATAGTCTATACCTTCCAGTATCGCAAACATGAGCCAGTTCCCTGTAACACAAGATGAGCTTAACAAAAATACCCAGAATTTATTAAAGAGGACAAATTAAAAAGGGTTTCTGCAGGAGACACAGGAAGCGGCACTCTCACAATGTTGGATCACAAAAATCCCAAATAAGCAAATTCCCCTCAAATAATTTATCATCTTCAATTATTTAAAGCAGCTGCAATAGATGATAATAAATAAATAATATTTGTATCAGAAATAGCATCAAATAATTAAGCAGAGCCTGTGTTGAACCAGCTGTACAGAGCATTACCATGAAAATCTGTAGCTCCCCTGTGAATTTACAGAGCTGTATATCAAACTTCAAATGATTGTTTAGCTGTCTTCACTTTACTGTACTGGATCACTCCCCTCCACATGTAACATAATTTTCAGCTGCACCAGGGAGCTGCTTTCACTGGAAAGGCTTTCACTGTTCACTCCCTTCTCAGAAACAAATTCTCTAAATGCAGGGGATATATTTCAAACACTGTGTGAAGCTAAAAGGTTCTATATTCCCCTAACAACATTTTTTAAAAGGAAAATATAGCTAAAAAAGAGTGAATACTGGAAACAGTATACGTTCACCAGTTTGATAAAGTGTAGTTTGTGGTCTTGTTTAAATAATTCTCCAGCAATCGGCAAAAAATGGTTATTTCCTGTTAAATGGCAGGCTTTGAAGTGTATTCAATGTTCAATTTAAATAAACATACAGTATTGAAGGAAGGTGAACGCCATGTAAATGATCTGCTTTATAGGTCAAGTGTACAGGTAATAGTTTTAAAAGAAATTATGGTCAGCTCAATTGAAGATGAAGTAAGAATGATCTCAATTAAAATAATAATAATTATTACATGCATCTTTTTGCATTTCATTTGGGGCTGTGTTCAGCTTTGCAGGTATCTTTATACATTCACAATATAACCCATGTGAATACTGTCTGGCTCTTTTATTTGGTATGATGAAGCGTCAGGTTGACGATTGTCCATTTAAGGTCACACACTCTCAAAGTTCAGTCCTGGCGTCCTTGGGGATCTTTTCTTTTCCTGGGAGGGCACAATCTCTCAGTCTCCCACAAAACTTGATATGTATAAAAGATTGGGTTTCACAGTTTACCACATGAATACTTTTTAAGACTTTATTTACCTCTACAAGCATGGAGGCTGCTGCTTTGTTGCACACTGACCTTTAAGTGATCTTCATATCTTGGGCCAAAAAAATATCGTATGTAACACTCAGACAATGAACCTCAGAATTTGTTTGAAGATTTCATTGACATGCGAGCAAATTTAAAGTTCAAGAGAAGCTAACTGTGTGTCCGCATAAATGACCAATTTGTGAGGGCATTTATGGGTCAGTTACAACACTATTTTTGATACGGGTCCAGTGCATGGCTGCCCATGTGGCTTAATGGATTTTAGATTCTTTTTTTTTAAGAAAGAAAGAAAGAAAATAAATTGTCTGAGGTGAATTTTTGTCTGAAATGGAAAAGTGCAGGGATATTATTAAAATATAGTAGCACAGGGTACGTCAATGAGACACCAGCTTTTCTGAAAAGCTTAGCACCGAAGCAAATATCCAGTGCAAGAGGAAGGGCCTTTTAAGCAGGAAGAGATGAGCGCATAGAAGCCAATGAGACAGATAAGCTGGAGGAAAGATGGGCAAAGTCAACAGGGGCTGAATTATGGGAGCTGCACTGTCCTGTGGTTTCTAGGAAGCCACTGACAGACACATTGTTACTAACACGTAACAGATGACATTACAACCCATGTCTTTCAGAGAGCAGGGGCATATCATCCGTCTTCATCCTCCGTTCTGCATGGTTCAAGGTACACTTAGCACTGTAAAGTTTAAGAGTGAGCTCTCTGTAAGGCATCGTTTTAACATAGCGTGTTATGTTAAAATGATGACTCATTACTATTTAAACACAGGAGCTCCTGACACATTAAAGCGTATGCATTTTCTGAAATGCATAAGCTCTTTTAAAAGAACTCAACTCGTTGGTCATCAAGATTGTTAATACACTTTAAATGATGCATTGGCATTTTAATGTGTAGATGATTGTGGTTTATATTTACTCTTTTGAGCACTTAAATAAATTAAAAATTGGCAAAAATCCCAGAAAAATATCATTTGTGTATCTTCATGAGTAAACCCTAACAAAACAATGAAACCAACTATAATGGTATTGTAACACTGCAGTTTTCTTAAAGGAAATCGGTGCCCCTGTCATTTGCAAAACAGCATTTCCCATCAGGGGACAAGCAGTACCGCCGTAATGCCGAAAGTCCATAAGGACACATCATTAAACCAGTAACCCACAGATCTCTCTTGACTTGCTACTTTTGTCATAAATCCAGGCATCCTGGGACGTCTGAATATCCTTTAGGCTGTTTTGACAACTTGGGGAGAGTTCCACACAATATGAAGGAGTCAGATTTGATGTTCTGAATGATAATCAGAGCTATAACCAACTCTGTACCTTGCTATCACCATTCAGATTTTTTTTACAGTCTTTCACTACTTTTCCAACCACTTTCCCATCCAGTGGAAATTGGGCTGCAAAAACAACAGAGCACAGGAGATTGCCGGGACTTGAAATAAACAGTCTCCTTTTAGGATATCGACCTCCTACATACTCTCGAATCGTGCCTTTCTTTCCATTATTTTTTTTTTGTGCTTTTACGGACTCTGAGCTATGACCAAAAACAATATTTGGCTACATTTAGCTCAACACACTACCCAATTTGAGCAAGATCATTACAGATAAGCATCGCTGACAGCTTCCTCTGGGCTCACTCACACCCTTTCTGTATTCCACATACTGTTTTGCACAAAAGTTAGTAGAGCAGCCACATGGCGCACACCACCAAACCTCCCATATATATACACGCACACTCCCTCTAACCCAAAACCAGATCCATCTACAAAGCTCCTTTTGTTCCTTTCCACTCAAGGAAAAGGGTAACACACGAAGGCTTTCTGCAGCAAGTTCAATAGTAATAAGTTCAACCAATAGTGATGGGGCAGATGGGGAAAGTAGGCAGCTGAGCATGTTTTCTTGGCCCATCTGGAAAGTATTGCTTGTGTGCATGAGCGTGTTTGTACACACAGGCACTCTTTCTCCCTCTTACATCCTTATGAACGGTCAATTTTAGCAAAGCAATTTACTGCTATCAGAGCTAATAGAGGATGCAAAGGGTGGAGTTTAATAAGAGCAGACCATTAACTTTCAGATGCCTTCAATCTGATCCTTTCTCTGACATTATGACTGCCTAATGACCACAATCAGGCATGGTAGATGGGACTCATTCCTGTTTTGAGTCACATATGGACTACATGCAAAAACAGGCTGGACCCAAAGCAACTATTTTGTCCCAAAAAAAGGCATAAATGGGTCATTTTGCAGCTGTTTGTCTCTGTGTTGCCCTATGGATGTAACCTGCCTTTCACCCAATACCAGCTGGGACAGGCTCCAGCACCCCCTGCAACCCTACTAAGAATAAGTGGTACAGACAATTAATAAGTGGATGGATCATTATACATAAACATACCTATAGATCCAACTACATTTAGCAATCTGACTCAACAGTGGTATTGTAGATTTGTTGGTTGCAACACATATTTTTGGAAGTGGATGGTGGCTGAGTGGCTAGATCTTACCGCACAGAAATCTGAGATGTTTCAAACAAAGAATCAAAGTTGAAACTAGAATATTTCTGTGCTCCGACTGGTTTGGCAAGGGCTAATATTTGGATAGCATGGCAGGTCCAGGGGTCATAAAGAACTCACCATCACAATCAGTGCAGATCTTTCAGGTCTTACCTGTTCTTTCTCCCCGCTCCGGGTTTTCTGTTGCCATGGTCTGTTGGTCCCAGTCCAGCCTTTCTTGCTCCCACTGGCCCTGTACCGGCCCCTTTTCCTCCCCACTTGATGGGAGGTCTGCCTCACCCCCTTCTGAGAGCTACACACAGAGATGCCTTTGTCAGCAGTGGAGCCCTTTTCTCAAGGAGGAAGTGATTGTAAGATTGTACAGAGCACTTATGGTCACATAACCACAAAACATTATACCAGTGGCTGATTTTTTTTCCACAATTCCCTGCATCTTTTTCATCCTTTTCTCCATTACACATAGAGCAAGAATGCAATGGAAATGAGGCCCTGTTTTGCCACAGAACGTGGATAAGAATAGCCTTTTAAACAGCAGTTCCAGGCTGTATTTAAAGCCTGGTAAGCACCAACATATAGGTTAATAGGGCCAAGTAGAGTTTTCTTTCCTCTGGAGGAATGGAGATTTTGCTTTTTTCTGTCAGGGGATGAAATGATTTAGCAAGATAAGCATTTTTCGGTAAGCACTTCAAAGAGAAACGTACTGTACATTGTGTCCAACTCTGACTCCTGTATCTGCCTTAGTCTAAACAGTTCAATGTAACCTACATCCGTTTGTAATAGAACCTTTGCAGAGGGGACACGTTTGAAATTCTATTCTCTCAACCAGTTTTCTTGATTATTTCATTATACCAGAATGTGAAAAGAATGGGGAGCAGCATTGTAGGGAAATGAATGATAGAGAGGGAGGGAAGCTGGTCTGGGGGGTTGGAGTGAGGCTTCAGACCTGCAAGACTTTGTTTATGGTCAGATTTCTTTAATCACCACCCCTCTGCTTCCTGTTCCACAGAAACATCCAAAATTCCTCCAAAGCACTGAACAGAGACTAGGAACTCTGCTGCTTGTCTGCCTTGACTATTTTAGGAGCAAAGCAAAGAAATATCATTACAACAAATTAAGCCCGATATGAAGTGCTGCTGACCAGAGATAAGCTAAATGTCTAAAGAATACCTCCAAATATTCTGCATCCCTTTTGAATTTGTGGAATGGGGCTTTCGCATAAACAAACTCTAGATACACAAAATGGTTCTACAACAGAAATAGAACTCACCCACTGTTGATTGGGCATGGCCACAGAGGTAAGCACATCGGCCATGGCCCCCAACATCTGGTCAGTGCGTCCCTGGTTCTTCTGCAGAGCCTTCATTCTGCGCACCACCAAACACACTGCTGCTACAACCTGCAATCTGTGAGCCGTCTTCACCGTCTGGAGCTGAGCCCACCTCGCTCTTCATGCATAAGAATGATTGATCCAGGAAGAGGACGGCTCGAGTCTGTCTGGACCTAGGAGTGTGCACTTCAGAGCTGGCCTCTCTCCCTACGCGCAGACAGGTGAGTGTCTTTCTGGCCGAGTCCAGTAAATGTCCACTTTTTTGCTGTCAACAGAAGCTCCCCCTCCAAACACGAGTAGAGTTTCTTAGGCCTCCTGGAGAGTTCATAGCACAGTCAACTCTCCTTTTTACTGTCATTCCTCCATATGTGGAGTCAGTGAGGGAGTGTTTTTCTGAGGTTAGTCTTCTTCTGTCTTCTCTTAATGCTGAAAGGGAGAGTGGTGACTGAGCATGTCACCCTCCCTGAAATCCTCCTTTCTTGTTCTCATTGGCTATAGAGGGTCACCACCCCCTCCCCAAAACTTCACCTCCTTCCATCAATCTCTCTCTTCTTTCTTTTCCTCTTCTTTTTGTATTCGCCACCTGATTCTTTTTTTCCAATTCCCAAATCTGTCTGAGTGCTTTCTCTATCCTCCTCCTCTGATTCTTCTCTGAACTATATCATGGCATCCAGCAGTCTCTTCTTTGCCCAAGTCTCATGTAGTGACACATGGAGTGTGTGAACTCCTGAGCAGCAAGGGCAGCCCCAAATAAGGTATGAGCACACAGCCCCCGAAGCTTAACTATTTAGGAGAATGTCATACTCATTTCACTGTTTTTACAGCCGAAACTCTCAACAATCACATATGCATTTGGTTTGTTTGTGGCTACTTGAGAGATTATTTGTCAATGAATCATCTGTTGAAAGTTGGATACGCCATTTAGAGAATATGTCAGCCAAAAATAGTTTGGGTGTACCTGTTTGCATGGGTGTGTCTTGTATATAGATTTTTTTTACAGGTTAAAAGCAGAGAACATTAGTTTTATACCATTTTTGTTTAAAAGACAAACAACAACAACAAAAAATCAAACAATGTCATTAACAATTTGGTGGGGAACTCAGTTTATCTGGCCAAATTACAGTTTATTTTACGCTTATCATTCTGGAAGAAACGTATAGCAACCATTCCAACAAAAATAAATGATGACCAAGAAAGCTTTGCTTAGTGTTCAAAAAGAAAGTGATACAACCGACCAACTTGAAACAAAAGATTTTCTTACTGAAAATACGTGCAGAGCTAAACATATCCACAAATCTTCCGAGGACTTATTAAAATTTTTGTATTAGTCTCATACAAATAAATGCACAAATCTTTCCGAGATAGACGTGTTTGCAGTTATTTACTGATGGCTGAAATTAAAACAGCATTTATCATTTTCTCGGTGTATGCCCCATGCTTGTTTACATTTACTTAACTCCACAATTAAAAAATATACCTGGAGATTAACAAAATTTAGGATTGGCTCATGTGTTTGGGCAACAGTTTTTTGCGTTGGCTCTGCCAAAAAGCAGCCCGACAGCCTAATTTAGTCTTGTTTTAGTTATTCCACAGTCTGGGCAAAATGTGATCAAGCTTATTCCCTAAAATCAGATATTTAACACCTTAATTTGAATATATTGTCCTATATGTTAGTTTTTAAAACATATTCTTAACATATGAGATTCAGACAAACATGAAAAATATACTGCAACTGTTCTTATCTGCCTTGTCTTATCCTCTCTATAGTTCACAATGGCACAAAATGTCTGAAGGAATTTTATTTTTCAGCCTTAATCACCCATAGGTTTGCAAGAAAACAACGCGGCACAGTCTAGTGTTGAAAGCTTGTCAACATAGGCATAAACTCTGCTGCTTTTTACGATAAGTTTTGTCAGCGCGTCTTGTTTTCCACTCTGGTTGCCCTTGCTTCATGTTCTATGTCCTTGTTATGTTTCCTGTTTTTATCCCATAGTCTTGTTTTCTGCTTCCTCATACACATGGCTTCACTTACCACTTATGACACCTGTCTTTAGTCAGTCATTAGTTGGCTCAGCCATAAAAACTCCCTGGTTTCCTTTGTTCCCTATCAGAGCCTTGTCTTTGCTTTATGTAATGTGTTTCCCTTCCGTGCCTAGTAGTTTTATTCTTGCCTTGCTCTGTTCTTCGGTTAATAGTTCATAGTTCACTCCAGATAGGCACCTTTCTTTTTTTGTCTTTTTTATTGTTTAGTGTCAGTGCCATTGTTTATTTTCATCAACCCTTCAATTAATAGCCTGCATTGCATCCTGAATTTGAATTAATGTAAATATTAAAACTGTGATGACCCATTTCACATTTCACTTTTTCATATGTATCTCTGTGTCCAAATTGTTTTCTTTAGATCTGCTATTCTTGTGTTATCCTGTAGAGGGAGGCTGGGCCCTTGAGACGAAGCCAACCCGACCATTTGGGAGGGTGGTGTACATCCTGGACACATTACCACGCCTATCACAGACAACAAAGCAGACACACATGCACACATATCATCTTTAAGATCATATTGAAGTGACAACTTTGAGAATCACCATGCAGAAGAACACAGAGAGAACATGCCAACCCCACACCAAACTCACTGACCAGCTACTTAGAGCCAAGAATATTTTTCTGTGGGATTCTTACAGTATTCAGAGCTTCTTCAACTTTCTTTGATTTTTGCTGTCTAAAAAGAACTATTATCAACTCAATAATTATCTTATCTATTTAAAATTTAAAGTGCCATACTTTGATTATGTTACACAGCTTCAAATATAGCACTTCTAAAACATTTCATCCACCCTGCAAAGAATAAACAGCGCAAACTTCCAGTTCCCATTGTCATACCCCTCCCACATCAACACAAATCTCCTTGTCTCGCTTGAACAAGTTAAGCTTCATTTCCTTCCTGCTTCCTTCCATTCGCCTGATTCCAAGAGGCCTTTAGGTGCTTTCGACACAGAATATGAGGGGATTCATCCTCAGCAACATACACGGAAAATCATGTAGCTCACAAAGTTTGAGCAACGGACTGGTAAGACCAGTTCGGGAGAGACTGCCAACAGTCTAATATTAGCAGAGCACATGTCTGTCTTTACAATCAGTCAGTAAGCTGGCTAAACTTAGTTCACTGCATCCCAAGCCTCTTTACAAGTTCTTTTGCCTTACAGTTCACTTCTGCCGGGTACTGGGGTGCCTGGGGAGATATTAGACAGGCTTATGCAGCTGTGATTGAGTATCTTTAAGGAATTTTGTAAAAAAGAAAGAAAATAATTTTGGCCCTAAAAGGAATTTCTGAGTATTATACACGTGATAGGAGACAGGACAAAATGTCCTCTAAACTATGCATATTTCATAATTATTTAAAAATAATTGTGTGTGTGTGTACGTGTGTCTCTGTGTGTGTGTTGGTGTGTCTGTGCGTGTGTTTGCGTGTGTGTGTGAAGGGGGGTATGAGAGTAAAAGCTTTAGATTTTCTAGTTAAAAACACAAAGCTTTGCTCATGTGTTATGCTGCCCTCACCTGGTTAACACCGTGCTTATACTTGTATAAGGAGAGTGGAAAACATCCAAAGTAGACATTCAATCACGACCCCACATGTTCATGTGTCTAAACATAGGGGATCTCTTTTTGTGCAAAGGACCTGGTTGGTGGGATGCTGAAGGCCCGTTCAGATGATTCCCAGCAGAAAGACCATCATTTGACAAAGTAGCGCCCGAAACTTTTAATACGATTTAGTGGGATTATGTTGTTGGAGGTGTCAGCTACAGGTGACTGCTGTCAACAACAGCAAACAATCTGTTTGATAACTTGTCTGATCCGATTCTTTTTTTATTGAAGTTTTAAATTAGTTCAAATTCATCACAAAATGTTTGTAATACAGGATCCATGTGTTTCAGTGCTGGATATATGATACTGTAACTACACAGTGCATTAACAGGGCTAAAGCAAATCTCTTCATAATGCCCTGTTAAAAATATACTCTAGACGTGTGCACGCAGCGTAAACAAGTGATATGTGATATGTTTGTTTTTTCATATATTTATAGAAGTCATGTGGACAACAGCTGTAATCTGCGGTGAACGTTAAAGGCATAGCTCTGTATTGTTTGTGTGTGTTCTCTTGATATTTCACTGAACAACTGCACAAACAACTTGCATCAAAGCGTAGCACTTCCCAGTTTGGTCAGCAGGGGGCATCCTACATCACAAACACCGTGTTGCGTAACATGCTGCCATCAAATGCGCAAGCAGCCTCAGATTGGACCTCCTCCAATTCAACACGAGGGTTAATCTTTTTATGTGAACTTCGCCGCTAAGAGACTGAGTCAGTGATGCTATGAATAAACCTGTTAACACGATAGTCCTGTGCATATAAATAATTCAGCCCCAAAAAAAGACAGTTTGTGGTTAGAGTTCAAATGGAGGGACCTAAATCAACTTTGAAAGTTGACCACATTTAAAATGATCTCTCCTGTTAACTGAAGAAATGTGAGGCTAAGTTATTATTTAAATTCAGTCTGAACAACCAGATGCTGAAACATAACGGAGTATGCTCTCATTTGAGGTCTACTTGTGTAGCTAAATGTATTATGTGATGCAAAAGGAAACTTTTACAAATCAAATGTAATGCTCCTCCATTAAAGGATTTATAACATGTGTATTGTTCATGTATCTTCTTTGTATCTGTGTGCGCATAATTACTTGAGTGTGAGTTTGAGCGTGTGTCCCTGTGTTTTCTCGTGTGTGTCATGTCTGCTAGGGGAGCAATTACCACCACGGCCCTCTGGCTAAGAGTAACAGCAGGGTTGGTTTGTTGTCCTGGCAAACGGATTTCCATGGAAAAACAGGCTCGAGAATGTGTCTCCTATCACAAAGACATATTCAGGCAGGGCTTCCTCAGCAGCGAAGCAGATTTGGAAGCCGAAGCCTTAATGATTCAGTCACAACACTTTTTGGACAGCTAGAGAGGTTTTCTCTCACACAACAGACGGACAGCACAGAGCTGTGGACCAGCAGATTCTGAGACAGCCGAGGAGTGGAGCGAGAGCGGAGTCAGTGAGAAGAGAATAACTCAACAGACCAAGAGCAGGGGAGCAAGCTTGGCTGCTGTCTGTTTCTTCCTTTTAATCCGTAAATCTTCTGTAATCAGGATGAGAGGGAGAGAGCACATTGCCTGACTTAGGACAGCAGAGTCTATGTTGGGACCTGGCTGATGAGGCAACGTAAGTGGCCAGTAGGAGACATGGAGGGAGGGGGGAAGGCTAGAGGTGGAATCTGTTTGGGGAACTTAACCTGAACCAGTTCCTCATACGTGCAAGAAGGAGGAGTGGAGTCCAACAAAAGAAGATGGTTTAACGACCATGAAGCAAGCCCAAACCCAAAGAAGGCTGACCAATGGATGGATTTTTTAGGGTGAGATTCTCGTTATTTCTATGTTGCTTTCCCTAATTTTTTAGATATTTAAACTGAAAAGGATGCAGGAATTTCATGTTCAGGATTGAGGGGAAGATGCCACACTGCAAGGTGTTACTCAGCTGGACGTGCAGTCCACAGAGACAGAGTTACCTCACATTCATGGCTTCTGAGAGGGAGTAGGAGAGATAGGAAAACTAGATGAATATCAATCCTTATTTTCTTTTATCACATGCTCTTAAGAGCACCACACCTTTCCACCGGGAACTTTTTTTAAATGACTCTAAGCAGAATATAAACGCTTTTGAGATGATAAATAGTATGTAGTCAGTAGGGCACACTAATATCAATTCTGTAGCTTGAGAGCCATCACAGTGTGGTTTACACTTTGATTATCACTGAAAACACACTTTTTACGGCCGCATCCATTCAAATATCAAGAATTACAAGTAATCCCTCCCCCCAATTTCCTTTTTTTCAGTTTGGAAATTACATGCAAACTGTATGACTTGGCACATAATGTAACCATTTTTAATAGGTTAATTACTTAGAAAAAGAAAAACACAAACAAACCTCTGGATACCTGCACGGTGACACTGTTTAGACACCAGGACAGCTGCTTGAGCCGTCCTCTGCTGCCACTGGACTGGCCAGCATTGTCCATTTGGCCTTTTGAAACCCAGTCCGACGATGCCTTCATTCACATTACTTTCACAGACTGAGTTTCATCAGGTCCACAGCATCGTTCGATTTCTTGTTACTATAATTTATTTATAGATTAATTCTGTCACACGTTCAGTTAACTGAACAGACTGAAATGGATTTGATGTTTGATGAATACTTTGATGTTCTGTAATAGATTGAGAGAGTGAACAAAAATTGAATGTGAATTATATGTGTATGTTGTCGATCGTATAAATTAGAGACTTACGGATCAGCCTCTTTGACAGCAGGGCTGAGGTGATGTAAATCTGCTCATCCACTTTAGCCATCATGTCTTTTGGTCAAGGCCTCTTGGGTCACAAGATCAATTTAACATAGTAATTGTGAGTCTTACATTTAAAGATGCCTATTCTAAATATTGAGGAATATCCACATTACTAAACTCAGTGGGTTGAAAATCACATTGGAGCACAAGGACATTTCATTCTGGGATGAGTTTATTTGGAACTCATTGAAATCTGAAATGAAACATTGCTGTTATATGTTACTTAATGTAGTTGTCAAGCATAGTATTGATTAGTGCATGGCATAATCTATGTAACTGACTCTGCTGATTTTAACTGATTTTGTGAGAGAACATGACTATGACACAGAACCTGAAAAAGTGGATCAGATTTTTTTCAAAGATCTGCTTCCAAGCAAATAATCGTTTTATTTTTTTTTCAAGATATGGGTGCCATGCAGGAGTCCTGACACCCACTGGTGATCACAGACTGAAGGGGTTCTGATGGCGACCGCAAGTGTTGATCCACACTTGGGTGCCGGTCCTTCCGAGGAGTCAGAGATCCTGCTGGATGACTCTGACTCGGGTAGTGTGCTCTCCGATGACTCAGTACTTCCTGAATATGAAAGAGACTCAACTAGTAAAGGACCGTGTAAAACACTATACGAGGCATGCGTGAGGAATGAGGCCGCATCCCTGCGCAGCGTCCTGGAAAGGGGAGTCACAAAGGATGAAGCAATGGAGACGGACATCAACGGCAGGGTGAGTTACTTCTCATTGGCCTTTCCAGATTAAGTTTATCAATGAGAATATGTATTTCTGTAGCATGACACATTGTTTCTGTCTTTTTTACCATTAGACCGGATTGATGGTGGCTGTGAGCAAAGGTTTTATAGACATCGTCACCATGCTCCACAAATGCCCATTCATAGACATCAACCACCAAGACAATGATGGCAACACTGCGCTTATGATTGCCGCGCAGGCCGGTATGCCTGATCACATTTACATTACATAACCTCAACATCTAACATTGTCACACTCCCATAGTATCACTTTAAAGTCATTGTCTTCATTCAATTCAGGCTTCATAAGCATTCTGAACTTCATCCTTAACTACTACTCTGGCGTGGACACTGAGATCAGGGACCCCCGCGGCTTCACAGCCCTCATCAAGGCAGGCCTGCAGGGTCGTGAGGACTGTGTGTCGGCCCTCCTAATGCATGGTGAGTGTGGAAATCTGCACACCTCTCCAGATTAAATCACTGTCCCTCCATTCTACTTGATGTGTGCAAAGAGAGTCAAAAAGCATATTAAGTGGTTGGCTGAAAACAAGATTTTTGTCCTATCAATTGATAGGATCAGAATCAAAAGAACTATATTTCAGTTGGGAACACGGATAACAAAAATGCGGCATTGATTGTAATGTACTGAGGATGGCATGACATCAGATCTGTGAACTAATCTGCCCTCTCTGGGCTACAGGGATTAGACGTGTATGAACTGTACTGTGATATATTTAGGGCAGCACCAAAATACATTTCTATCCAAAATCTACGTAAAGAAAATAATGTTAAGTTTAGCAACATTGATTTTTTAAAATAGCAAAGGAATTAGTATAAAAAATGTCTGTCACTCTTTTCGATTTCTTTATTCTTGAAAATTCACCATGAGCATTGCTGTACCTTTAAAGTTTCCCCATGACCAATGTGACAAGGAAAAACTAAAGACTACTGGCAAAGAGGAAATACATTGCGTTCCTCTAACTCCACCTTTTTACATCACCGTGTTGTGAAATGGTCTAAAATATTCCTGAAAAATATCTATCAGACGTCAGTCACTTGTTCTCCAAAGGACCACATGGTGGAGTTGTTTAACTGAGTTGTGGGAGCAAATGATTCCACCCGCTCAAACCTGACCTTGCTCCACAGTTTTGCAGCTTTTTTGCTATAACCTCCCCTCTTTTGTGTGCAGGTGCGGATATGTATGCGATAGACCTGGTCCAGGGGAGAGGTCTCAAGGACTGGGTCCTTAAAACAGCGAGGTTCGAGACTCTGAACCGAATACGTCGCCTGCAGGGTCGTCCTGTTGCCGAGCAGTTCTGTGAAAGCTACAAGCCTGAGTGGCCTGACCTGAGGGCGCTGGTGGAGAAGGCCACTGCCCCGAAATCTGCCAGTCAGAAATTGAGACAGCGCTTCAAGGAAAGCCTTACTTTCAGCTTCCCACATGATCCCGAGGATAATGGAGTTATGGACCATATGGTGAGGATAACCACAAGTATTCACAGTCCGCTGATAGCTACTGCTTCCCACCCACTCTGTCCCACAAGCCCCCCGGAGATCGGAAAGCGACGGTTTGCTGTGCCTGAACTGCTCGAAAAGCACAGCAGCAAGGAGCTGGAGGAGAGCACCGTGTCCCACAGTAACGGCTCCGTCATCTCAGCCTCTCCGACAGCTTTGTCGGCCACTTCCGTATCGCTCACATCTTGCTGCCGAGACCCTGAGCGCAAGGAAAGCATTCAGAGAAGCTTCATCCCTCGCAGCATGGCACACAGGAACAGCATCTTCCCCTCTGGCTGCATCCCTAAAATTGAGGTGACAAAATCTGGAGAGCCCACACCAAAGAAAGAAAAGAAGAAGAAAAGGCAAAAGGGATACCTGGAGCCTCCCATCTGGAAGTATAAGGAGGCCAAGGAGGAGAAAAAAAGAGAGAAGAAAAGGCTGGAGGAAGAGAAAGATAAAAAATCGAAATCCAAAAAATCTTCAAGCAAAAAATGAGCCATAAAGTTCTTTGCCACTGAAAGCTTCACTGTGATAGTGTTGTATCATGGATGAACATGTAATTACTTTAACTCTGGAGGCAAGTCATGGATGCAAGTTGATCTTTGACTTAGGATGAAAATAAGTTAACTTACTTGAATTAGATATATTACTTATATCAACTAGTTCCTATGTTTTGTAACAGCGTAGGATGAAAAATATGTTAAACAAATGTTATATTGATGTGCATTACTGATTCCAGACACCTGCAACAGCTTTCGACTTTGAAAGCCCTGTAATTGGATTTTACCAACTTGTATTTTGTGAACAACTAAAGGTAGCGTGCCATCTTGGAAGACAACCAAATAGCCAATAGCCTATATTGTATACATGTTGAATGTGATCAAATGCCTTCAGGAACCGATTAATTAAAGAGTTTTCCACAACTATGAGATGGCGACAGGACAAAAATGGACAAAAACTGCGTGCTTTTGTCTATACCCAATACTGCAAGGGATTGTTGGTTGTTGTTTGTTTTTGTTTGTCTTTTTTTTTAATAAGAAGTCACTCGATAGAAAATTTGTTGTAACTGTTAAAGTTGTGTGAAGCCATTTTTTTTGGCTTCCTATACATATTGTTTCATCCTTGTAGCATGTAGCATCCACGTCATATCTTCACATGTTCCCGGCATATTTGTAATTCTCCAGAAGATTTCACACATTACTGTTTCACACTAAGCTAATTTGCAAGGGTAATGGAACAAAGTCATATCTCAGCAACATGTCCTTAAAAATGCTACAAAAATACGAGACCTAAGACTACCACTGTGTTATCTTTCTTGGGCTATGCTTGGAGACAAGTTTTCATTTTAATTAATTTTGATAGATACCAAAAAAAAAGACTTCTACAGAATAAACAATGGGAAAGGGATTTGCACTTCATGTTGCTCAGGGAAATTGAACTATGGGCATTTTGTTATTAGGGTGATATACAAAAATTATCTATGAGAAATGAAAGATTCTATTTTTAGATCTGTTTGCTGTTCAAAACCATACAGATGTGTATGCAGTTGCAATACATATTCCGAAAACGACCAAATGTATCTGAATGTGTTATCTAAGAAAAATGTTTTATCATATATTTATTTGTTGCAGTTTTCATGGAAAATTAGAATATTTCTGGGATAATTTGAAGGAGAAAGTAAAAGACTTGAAGATCTCATGTCTGCATCTTTATCAACTTTGAGAAAAGGGAAATTAATGTTCGCAAGCAATAAATATCTGACCTTCTCAGGAGTGACTGATTGTGTTTGGATACTCATGTGAGAATATCTGAGAAAGACTCTTTGTTGTATGTGTTCAGTCCGGTAACAGAACAGGATTTTAAAGACACCTCTTCACCACCACATTTAAGCAGACACAAGAAAACAACTCTGTAATAGTAGAAAATTAAAGTATTCACATGCATGTCAGTCAACATTCCTTGACTGACGTGCACAACCTGAATTAGCCTCTGGTCTGGCATGTTCCCTCTTTCACAATGAAATTACTTCGATCCTCTGTAGGCAGCTTATAGCACACAGTGACATGAAGCGCCTCCTGAACCCTGGTCACCAGTAATCTTTTAATCCGCACTGGACTATATTTACACAGCAACTAAGTGGTAAAATTAAAACATCTACATATGTAAGAGCATTTCTCTCATTCTTAAAAAAAGTGCTTTATTCACTGAATGTCACATTTTCATATACTGTATATATATATTTACACACAAAAAACGCAAGCTGTTTTTCTGCTCATGTGTGAAAGAATGTCATACTTCATTTAAAAAAACTGCATCTGAGTTCCTCTCCACAGAAGGGAACTGGGTGACCTAAGGTCAGCCCTATAATAAATAACCTTCCAGGCTCCATTGAGGGAACATGTGAGACTTCCAGCATCTCTCTAGAGGCAATGGACATCTATTGGCACACCTATGATGAACCAGGAAGTGAAGATTCCTTGAATGAAACACCAGCCCACTCAGAGATTAACTTTGGCTTAATGTGTTTCGTTATTCTATTCCCCGCTCTAATACAGCCTCTGCATTAGTCCCACACATGTTCAAGATCGACAGATCAACTTCTGGAAAAATATATTATTTTACACATATATTAAAACAACGCCTGACATATTGTGCAACAAATGGAGCCAGTGTTTTTTTTTCAAATCACAGAGATTAGTGGGAAAGAAAAAAAATAGGTGCTGATTTTAGAAAAGAACAATTTGATCTCTTTTCTAGGTGGCAGCTAATGTGAGAGCTTCCAGCTGCGTCTGCAGCCGTAAGCCAAGACGGAGAGATTACAGAGCCTGAGAACAAGGAGGGGAATTTATATCACAGACATGAAGACTTCTCTCTGAGGCTTTACTGAAGGAAGTGTTGTCCCACGGTGCAGTCGCTCTGGCATCTGACAGACAACTCTATAATTAAGATACACATTGGTTACCATAGTGACAGAACACAGCGCATACAAGCAACACTGTGTTGTCTTCAGATTAAAGGGGACATCCAGTAATCACCATACACTGTGCATTGAACATTGAGAGTAATGGGAATCAACTGGAGTGAAGTATCTACTTCATTTTCATGTTAAAGAAGTGTGTTGTGCTGCAGATACACACACACACACACACACACATAGCTTAGCATACTCACCTGCTGCTCAAGATTTAGCTCAAGATCCAAAAGTAAAGCAATGTCGCCCTAAAACTGTTCTTCGGTTCAACATGAGTTGATGAAAAAGGAATGCTGCTCAGATTGTGTTTGTGTTTTCGCAGTATATCCGTTCCTCACATCCGTCATGAGAATTGTTGGGAGGGGGAAAAGTCGATCAACAACTGGCGTGCCCTGATGGCCACACCAAGATGAGGTTGAGCTTATCAGGCAGATCATCTTTCGCGTTGGTTCCCGAATTATTTCTTGGCGTAGGCAATGTCTGGCAATGGCAGACATGAAAAACAATACCTGAGATAGCTACGTGTCATGGGAATGGACTAAAAAGACTTAGAAGCAGCACAAGACAAGCCTGAACAGCAGGCGCCTCTATGGAGGGGAACTGAGGCTCATTTAGCTCTTATTAGCTTTGTAACTAAGTTTGAAGGAAGCCTGAATATAGTTTTTATCAGTTTTATAGAAATGTGAGAACACTGAAAACATTAACAAACAACGGACTTGGGGAAGTTACAACAGCACTGGATGAAAGTTCACAGGCATATTTCACATTTCAGATTTTGGACACCGGGCAACTTAATCAGCAAGTTTCTTTTACACTGATACTCTGCAGAAAATATGCCTGAAGTTCTTTGTAGGACCTGGAGAAAATGTAAAAGGGTGCAATGTAAGTGGAGGCCATTTCCAATCAATCGCGGCTCAGAATTATTTCGCTTTTACTCCAACAAAAAGTGGACACTGTGAAAATCAGCAAGGCGTCTTACAAAATGAGGAAGCAAAGAAAAGCACGGATGTCATTCCCACCATTCTAAACTTGTTTTCACTCTACAACTGAACTTCAGCAAATTTCACTTCTGTCTTCTTTTTTTATAACAGCGCAACGCAAAATGATCAACAACGGCACCAACCTAACCAAGAGTGACCCATACTAAAATCTGGCCTTCCTCAGGAATCTCAAGTGTTGCCGTTTGCTCAGGGATTGTTTGTGAAATGCAGTCTTGATTGTTTTTCAGAGGAAGAGTTGCTCAATGGAGACGTGGGCTTGCTATTTCAAGAGTGACAGCAAATAATACACACACACATTCCAGGATTGCATTCAAATATGGTCATTTTTACAAGCTCCCACAGGCCTCTGAGCCTTTAAAGAAACCGAATGGGTTTAAAAGTAATTGCAGTCTGCTACTTTTAGTCGCTTCCTAGTTTTGTGTTGCACCTGGAGGAATATTTTCGTATGGTGGTGAGCCTTTGACGCACATTCCTATCACAGCGGCGCAAACACAAGTCCACAGGGGAAAAGGAAAATGAGAGGTTTAGCAAGCAACAGGAAAACCGCAAAGAGAACACATTCCAGCCAGCGCCGATTCTGTTCGGGACAATAAGGGGTGGGACAAAAAAAAAGAAAAGTGTATACTATTCAAAAATCTCTAATCTGGGTGTTCAATCGGGAACACAGACGACTGCAAAAGCGCTCACATGGAAGAGGACGCGCTGCCAGCCCTCTGCTGTGGAGTTGTCTAAGCGGAAGGAGTCTGGTTCCAAAACGCAAGACGGAGTTGGTGTTGTCGGTTTATCAGTACAGATTCGGACTGAGATGAGATAGGCTGCAGCTCGTCGTTCGTCCTCCTATCCTGGACCCTATCCTTCCATTTACCTACCCTCACGTTTATTAGGACTTTTTGTTTGTTTGCGTGATCGGTGGTTTCTAACTTTATTTTTTGAACTGCGGACTGTCTGTGTTCGAAGCGGGAGAGGATGTGAGCTCCCCCGGGATAAAACATCTGCCACAAAGCGTGTGTGTGTGTGTGTGTGTGTGGGTGTGCGGAAAGACGCGATCGGCTGGTATAATGGGAGCAGCAGAGTTTTGAAGAGACTTTTTGTTAAAACTCCAACTTTCCTCTTTGGCCACCGGGAAGACCGCAGGCTGTCCGTCTCTGATATGGGAGACGTGTGGCGTTTTCATCTGACAAGTTAAACAGCAGGCAGAAAACAGGTAATGCACATCTGTCTTTCTTCTTTGGCCATTGCGTTGTTTATTACCAGCCATTTCTCTGTGGCACAGCTGGACCAAGTGTTTCCAGATGTGAACAGGTGTAAAGTATCGATCTGATCCATCGGACATGCCAGTCAATCTTGGTGCTTTTTGCATCTTCTGCACAGCTGGCTGTACACGTACATGGCTTCTATGGTGCTATCAATAAGTCCTGGTTTTAAAGGGAAGTCTTGATCTACCACATGTATTTAGCTGTGTACTAATAAATGAAGATTGTTTCACAGGCTCTCTGGAGACTATTACACCTGCTCAGCTATAGATAGAGATATCTACAGGTATAGATCCAGATTATCCCACTAACATGTGGTAAACTAGATTTCGAAGTGTAAGCCTCCATTAGATAGAAGGGGTTTATGTGTTGAATCTATTTTTTACTTTATATAACTCAAAATCATCTTAACAATATCTCCAACCTGAGAACTATCCATGTATCATTGAATTGCCTTCATGACAGTGCACTGATAACCGAGATGGAATTATGTCATGTTAGACTCCTGGCAGACATCATCCAGCTATCTGATAACCAGATCTGTTTTATTTTCCATCTATTAGTATTATTTCTGTTTCTAGTGAGAATTCTCACTGGGTGAGAGGATTAAAAACCTATCTCAATCCCGAGCTTTGTGACAGCGTTGACGTAGTGGAAGTAGTTTGCACAGGAAGTATAAGAAGGAGTATATTTGTCACTTCCTCTCTCAGACAAGTTTTCATTCTCAGCATAAGGCATAAGTAAGATTTATGATTACAGGGTCACAGAGGCAACGCAACATGACTTTGCAGAGAAAAAGTCGAAGGGCCTTTTTTTGTGCAGTGGGGCCCGGTGGAGGGCTGGGTGGAAACGGCCATGCTGTACAGTGCCCCCACAATCCACCTCTGTAAGCACGCAGTCATTCAGATGGAATGAGATATCTTCCTCCCCGAGTTAAAACTCTGTAGATGGGAGGAAGAGATGACAATGGATCTTTTCCCTTTGGGTCACGTGGGTGTAGCTTTGGGCAGAATGGAGACAAACAGAAGAGGACGTAGGGAGGAAGGCTGCTAAGTATAAAGTCAGGCTGCCTGCCTGCCTGCGGGGATGGGATTTCTGCTCTCTGATATGCCAGGGCTCTTTGATTGATGGTGATAGGATAGCTCGCAAAATGAACTCCTTCTGAGAATAAATTCATTCCGTGGGTGGAGTAGTGTTTATGCCGTCCCTCCGTCTGATACAGCGAGCACTTTTTGTTTGGAGGTATAATGTGCAACTTGTGGTTTCAGAATGTTAGAGTATTAGGGCAAAGGTTAGGCTCTCATCTGCTGAGCTAGAATGAAGACAGGAAGACTGTCTATATATACATGATATATATATACGTAAATATGCTTGTGTGTGTTAGTATATATATATAGATGAAGCACTTTGACTTGACACTTTTTATGAATATCAAAATCTCCACCCTGTTTTCAACCTGAGGGCAGATAGGTTTTCATATTCTTCCACTTGCCTGTGACATTTCCCAATGCCTGATGAATTGAAAAAAGTCATCATGTGGAGGTGTGCTGTAGTTTCTACATGAATAATTTGTGCATCAAACCTAAAGGGGGATATCTGAAGTTCTGTGCTGACATTTGCAGATTTCAGAGGTGTGAAGTTCGAGTGTCATTTGCTTCAGATGGTGAAAGATTCGTCATGTTTTTGTTTCCTAATTCATAGAAACAGAAGAAAAAAAACAATTCCAGAATATGTTTGCTGACGTCTATCCTAAGAACGTCTTTAAACAGCAGGTGGTACAGACTAAACTGTTTTTACATTTTTGTTACAAAACATTCTGAGAATGATACAGTATACTTGAAAAAAATTCTAGAGCATTTTTTTTTTAAGTAATAAGTACATTTTACCCTGCTATACATGTCCTAGTATATGAATCATATATGAAAAAACATGGTTAGCACTTTCCAAGTGTCTTTGTGTGTCATTGTGGCAAACTAAGATCCAGGAGAGAATTATTTCAGCAGATCTAAGAGTGCGAATCCCTTTTTTGGTTTTCACTACATGCCAACAAGAGAAGCAGCCACCACACTTCAATAAAACCTGATAAGAAGTCTACCTGCCCTAGTTTTGGACATCCAGTTTGTTTGCATGGGCTTACTCTGGTCTACCCTGTGTTCTGCTCTTCTCAGCAGCCAGAGGAGGCGGTGATTTCTCTGCCTTCAGCCGTTGTCGGTTAATTAACTGATTTTCAGTCAGCCAACGCACATGGTGTGACTCCAGTGTTTCCTGTACTGCACTGGCACAGTCCGACACATCAGCCCGAAAGAGCAGAGACACCTCTGCTTTTTTTTGCATTGTATAGTTATATTTAGAAAATGTTCTAACAGGATGGGCAGAAAGTTGAAAAAGAAAACCCTTTTTTTTCTTCTTACAGGCATTTACTTGAGATCAAAATGAGGGTCACATTTGAAATTAAGTCTGATTTAACTCATGGACCCTACCCTCTTTACGCTTATCTAAAAATCTGAATATATCTTTTTTTTTTATCTAAGATAAGGTTACATAAAACAGACAATAAACATTAAAGGTTCTCCACTTAAAGTGTTTGATTTATATAAAATGATTTTCAATTCAAATGTTTGTGAGAAAATATTGTTTTCTCTGATTAATTCGAAGCGAAGTTGCAAGCTAGAGGGTGCTTTAGCAGCCAGAAAGGCTAACTTGTGTTTGAAGGCTCTTTCACTTGCGTGACTCTCAGCACTCTAGCTCTAAACAATGAGCAGACCTGAGTCTCGCCGGCCAGCCGGGTGGGGCCACTCAATGGCAGGAAGCATAGCCATCAATATTTACTCTGCAAGCAGGGTAGTGGTGGAGTCCTCATGCCTGGAGCCCGGGTAGCACAGCGCCACATGCACTACGAGCGCGCATACACAAACAGGCTGGAGTCTGTTTTTCAGCCTTTTCCCCTAAGCCCCCTTTTCCCACCCAATGCAATTACAGCACGGGCAGACAGACTGGACCCTCTGACTGTTGTTTCTGACCTCATAGCTTCCTCAGAGCCCTGCTTTTAACTGCTGTGTGTCTCCTCAGACACATCACCATTAAGTTATCATCTGCAAACCGAATTCAAGCTGAGGTTGAAACGTCAGGGAAATGCCTCTATTTTTTCCCCTTCAAACTGAAAAAAATGGCTTGAAATTGAAATGAAAGTTTTTGGTTTTCAATTGGGTTGCTCCTAATAAACAGACGGCCATCGTTGAGTAGGCATAATTTGAACATCCATCCATCCATTTTCTGAACCGCTTATTCCCAAATGGGGTCGCAGGGGAATAGGCTCCCTATTCCATTATTCAATGGGCAAGAGGCAGGGTACACCTTAAACGGTACTGATTTGAACATGGAAGCTGTAATAATTGTCCTGTCGTTTTACAGAGATGGGAAGTTCTGCTCTGCTGGTGGTGTTAACTGGAGCTTTTTTATGCATTTCTACCATCCATGCTGGTGAGTTTATAATGGCATATTCAGTCATCTTATTTATTTAAGTCAGCGTTTCAACACTAAATACTTTAATTCAACCTCCTTACTAAAATTGTTGTGTTCCTCTGAGGATAAAAAAATGCAATCCTTGTTTGGATTTTTCAAGATGAGCATAAACTGTTTGGTTTAGGCTTACGGTTCTCAGCAACCAAAGATAGTAAACCCCGACAACAAGCCAAGACAAGATTGGTGTTTACTGCCTTTCTGACATGAAAAGGCAGAGGCATAGTAAATGAGTGGCAGGAGAATATTTCCTCATGACAGTTCAAAAGTTGGTGGAGGATTTTCTTAGGCTTTCTGGCTCTTAGTTAAAAATTGCCAGAAGCAACTTTAAATCTGATGGGTTTAGTGCCACTCTGTACATGTATATACCATGTCAACATTTTAAGCCGTGTGTTGTTGTCTGTGCCTCAGGAGGTCAGGTCAGCTTATCTGGCCACCACTTCTAAAAGTGCACTCTTGGTTTCAGATCGTCAAAATGATTTTTCAAAATGTTAAGACTGTTATAATGCTGACCCCTTCATTTTTACCTTTTGGTGCATGTCCAGGTAAAGCTCACTTTACCACAGTTGAATGCATAGAAATGGGATAGACATTTTCCCCAAAAATAGTGACCCAAGCTTATTTTTCTTTAAATAGAAAAGTCTCATTTCTGAATAGTTGTTTTATTTTTTACAATTCTTGATCAAACATTTTCTCACTACATTGTTGTTTAAGAAGACTCTGCAAAAAAAAAGATCATTTTGTGACTGTGCACAGTTACTGTTATCCCTATTAACCTGGAATTACTGTCATTTTGTTTCACCTGGTTCCTCAGACGATCAGGGGGCCAAAAGTGTCGATGAAAACTTGCTGTGCGTATGCAAAAGCCACAAAGACATTTGTGAGAATGGAACTTGCAGAGGAGAGGTTTGCTTCTATTCCTTGGTTGAAGGCACAGAGGAGATGGGCTGTTTCTCAAATCACATCAACGAGCAATGCTCTGGCTCCTTCCACAACCTTTTTGTCAGCTGCTGCAGACAAAACAATTGCAACGCTCTGATCACCCCACCTCCAAATATCAGTAAGTATCTAAAGTTGTTTTACGAATTTTCCGCATCACATCCAGGAACGGGAAACCAGTGAATCACTGAGTATTATAGTTGTTTTTGTCAGCCTGCTCAGGGTCATGCCACAATATGGTGCACACACAGTGCTGTTTTAATAGTGACTGGTTCCCCCTTGTGGTCAGACCATGCAAACTGATGTTTTTAGGCTTTGTTTTATTGGATAATGATTTAATGGTATAATTATTTTGGCTTTTATCATGATAGATTGCCACATCAGTAACGTTTTCTCTATCATACATTGTTCTAGGCTATTCTAAATGCGAATCTGTTCGTGTGTGCCTGAATGCTTGTGTATGTCCGACAGCAACACCTCCAGAACTCCCACGCCCGGAGCTGTGGATCGCTGTGTCTGTGTTGCTCTTACTCATCGCTGTAAGTGTCTGCTTGGTGCTATTCCTGCGCTTCCGACCAGCACGCTGTAGACTGAAAGACTCAGAAGAGCGCGATGCTGCTATGGTCCCCTGTGGAGATGACCCCACATATGGCGTAAGAGACCTCAGATGTTTACCATCAGACCGAGTGGAAAGGAGCTATCACATGTGAATTATATCTGTGTGTCTGTGTGTGTCTCTCTACCTCCAGGATATTTTTGATGAGTTTTGCACATCTGGAAGTGGGACCGGGCTTCCATATCTGGTCCAAAGGACAATGGCGAGGCAGATCTCCCTCGCTCAGTGTGTTGGTCAGTCTGTTATCTTGTCAAAGTTCTCTGTGGATATCTTTTTTTTTGTTTTCTTCAACTATTTCTGTGCTGTTGTGTAACATGGTCACTCTGGTTCCAGGTAAAGGCAGGTATGGTGAGGTGTGGAGGGGGACATGGATGGGGGAGAGTGTAGCTGTCAAGATTTTCTCCTCCAGGGACGAGCAGTCCTGGTTCAGGGAGACAGAGATCTACAACACTGTGCAGCTTCGCCATGACAACATACTCGGTACTGCAGCTCAAGTTTAGACGAAATAACACTTATCCAAAGGCCTGGGAACTTGTCAAAGAGTGTAAGTCAAAAGCTTTAAACAATTTATTTTCTCTGTTGTTCTGTCTCTTAGGTTTTATAGCCTCGGACATGACATCCAAGAATTCCAGCACCCAGTTGTGGCTCGTCACCCACTTTCATGAGCTGGGTTCGCTCTACGACTTCCTCCAATACAGCAGCCTGGAACCAGAGAGCTGCTTGAGGATGTGCCTTTCAGTGGCCTGTGGCCTGGTCCACCTCCACACTGAGATTGTCAGCTCCCAGGAAAAGCCAGCAATCGCCCACCGAGACCTGAAAAGCCGGAATATCCTGGTGAAGCGGAACGGGCAGTGCTGCATCGCTGACCTAGGTGACCGTCACTCAGAGAGCTAAAAAGGACCACAAATACATCATAACATAGTCATGAAAAAATACGCTCTACCAAACTACATAGCGGAGCTTTAAAGCATTTGAAAGCTACATAAATGTTGTCTCCTCTCCTCAGGCTTGGCTGTAATCCACTCTCAGTCCCACGACTACCTGGATGTAGGCAACAACCCTCGAGTGGGGACCAAACGCTACATGGCTCCTGAGGTGCTGGATGAGACTATCCGCGTGGATGTCTTTGAGTCTTATAAGCAAACCGACATCTGGGCTCTTGGCCTTGTCTTCTGGGAGATAACCCGCAGGACAATTGTCAATGGTAAGGTGAACGCTATCTAGTAGATTTCTTTTGCATTTACACCCACTTTCAGGACTACTAGAACCATTCAGGAAAGGTTTTTGTATCTTTCTTGGTACTTTTGTGCATTTCTTGCAAATGTTACATTAATACCAATCCCCAAATTCTATCCAAAATCATTTTCCTCTGTCAAGTCTGACTGACTTGGAAGACTATACCTAAAGAAAAACTGTTAGACCCATGTCTCTCATCAGTGCAGTGTTTTTTTTTTCTCTGTGTCTGTCTCTACTATCCTCGCTCATGATTAGCACTGCAGTAATTATAAACAGTCTTATCTGGTGTCAGCACTCGCTTTTACATAGTCCAGATGCTTGTACACGAAATTTGTAGATGAAGGCACATGGCTATTCTCAAGGACATGCACACTTACATATAAACAGACGTACAGACGGCTGCTTGTGCGCGGGAGCTTTGTGTCTGCCGCAGCTGGACTTTTTTGGTGTGGTCACCAGGGACTCCATATCTTCCCAGTTCTCGTTTATTCAAACATACTTTACAAAACTCCCACTAGAGCCTATCTGCAAGTTCAAGTGTGCTATTTTAGGCCATGTGAGAAGAGAAATGTATGTTCTGGAAATATATGAAGATGGAAAACCACTAAAAGGGGCTATAAACGAATCCAATCCAATAAAAAGAGAAGTTATGGAATGTGATACTCCCCTTTCTCGTGACATACATTACAGATAGGATTGTTCCAGTTAAGATTATCACTTGTGAGTATTTTGTGTCTAGAAGGTAAATAATAACTGAGTTTGCTTTATGGGGATTTTTTTTTCTTTTTTTTTAAGGTATTGTGGAAGAGTACCGTCCTCCATTCTTTGACCTAGTGCCCTCAGATCCAAGCTTTGAGGAGATGAAGAAGGTGGTGTGCGTGGACCATCAGAGACCCAGTCTGCACAACAGACTCCACTCCCACCCAGTAGGCCATCCCCTCACACACGCATTGATGCATGCTTAGAACAAATAACCGTATTTGTTATAAGCGTGCATCTGCTTTCAGAGATGTGAAAGTTTCTGTTAACGCTCACTTTTCTTTGAACACATAAAAACACATAACCACTGCAATAACAGGTAATATATTGCTTTTTTCTCTGTGATTACAGATCCTTTCAACGATTGTTAAAATCATGAAGGAGTGTTGGTATCAGAACCCAACAGCCCGCCTCTCAGCCTTGCGAGTGAAGAAGACTCTCTCCAAACTAAACATTGACAGCGATTACAGTATTGAGAAACTCAAACGGGACATCTAGACAGAAGAACCAGAATGACAACAGGATGTCCTACTGAAAATTAGAGATTTTTCACCACATTACAACCAAATGATGAATGAACATTTATTGTTAGGACCCAAAAACTCAGAAGGTGACCGCTTGATATTAAAACCATTTATCCTGACTTCTTTTTTCCTCCAACGGATTATTTTCATTAGCCATGTCTCTGGGATCTCCAGACACAGTTTACAGCAACGTTTTTCCACATATGGGTCTTTACTCATTCTTATCTAAATCCCTATCATTGAGACAGAATGGAAAATCAATGATAGCAAAAATACTCATGCTATTATGAAGAGCCTTTTTTCTTTTGAAGTATGGATTTCCCCACAATGACCAAAACCACATAAAATCCCATAAATCATAACAGATGGTTAACTTAATTATAGAATATTACAACAAAGCCCTTCTCCTATTCTGCAAGTATACTTAACTTAATTTTAATGAACATGTATTATCTGCAGCACAGTCAGACTGTACATAACAGCACTGGAGCCATATTGACTTAGTCTTTATTAACAATATGCACTCTTGTAAATAATTTTCTAAAGACATTTTTTATTAATTTCTTGTAGTCAACCAAGAAACACTTTTTTATGTATTTTTTCAAATTATTTTTTTACGTTTCAGTAGGCTTTATATGGAACATCACATGATTATGATCAGAAATCAGCTCACAAAATGACATGTAAATTTTATATCTTGAATAAAGGATTGTATTTTGTAATGTGATGAAGGTTTTTTTTTCTTTCTGGCAAATGTTGTTTTTTTTTTTTTTGCAATACTTATGTTAACCAGCAGAGGCCATCAGAAAACGGACAAATAGGCGTCCATGTTGATTTTCTTGCCATAGGAAATGTTGGTTCCCACAGTTTTAGTCTAATTTAAGTTAAGTTATCTTATTAAGAACCATAATCAGGAAGGTTAGTACATTTATTATCAAATACTAAGTCAGATTATTAGACAGAGAGGTAGGAGCTGTGGCCTGAAAAAACAGTAATGACAGATTATGGCAATACTCCACTTCAAGTCTGAACCCCTCTCAGGATGGAATACTAAAGCCAAAGCATTGACGTGTTATAAGCAACACATTTGATGAGTAAGAATCATAATGCAAAGAAATGTCTGTGTGTCCAGGATGATTCTTCTATTGGCATTATTATGGTATAACCTGCCATCTTTTACTGCAGCAGAGGTTGAGCTGGTAACTGCTGAAAAGTGTAAATAACAGCCATCATGTAAGATCATACGTGAGGTGACAGACACATTATTTTCTAACACATCAAGTCAGTAACACTCTTATTTCTGTGATAATTCATCTTTTCCTTTTTGTGTGGAGACAAAGAGTCTTTGCAAATGCTCTTGTGAAGAATCCTGAATATTCTCTGCAACAGGGAGTTTTAGGTGTCGGTTATTGCACTTTCGGAGAATACAAAATGTATAGAGAATAGTAAAAAGAATAGTCATTTGCGGGAAATTCTCCACCAGCTAAGGTATGTTACAAAGCGCAGAAAATAATGATACCAGCTCTGTCTCCTTCGTCCTGTATCTGAATACCTGCACTTTCTGTAGTCATGCTTGATCGTCTTTTCTCTGCCTTTGTCTGTATGTGTATATGTGTGTCTATATGTGTGTGTGTGTGTGTGTGTGTGTGTGTGTGCGTGTGTGCGTGCATGTGTGTTGTGTGTGTGCGTGTGTGTTCATGTGTGTGTGCGTGCATGACTATGGGTATGTTTTCTGTCTGGTTGCTGAACAAACTCCTGTGAGATAATGCGCCCTCAAAGTCCCAGCCTATCTGGTCAGTCAGATGAAGAGAGGGTTATTTTTAACACTGCGGGGGGCTTGTTAAGTAGCACAGAGACCAAACTCCCCGCGTGTAGGTGCAGAAGCCCATCTCGTTTCTCTGTCCACCCCAACCCCCAGCACCACCACACCAGTCTTTAACAGCAGGCTCATTTGTGGCTCATCAGAGAAGCAAGGGTCTGTTCTGAAGAAGTGTGTTGATAAGCTGGACAGTGTCGATAATGGACAAATGCCACAGAGGAGACTATGCACACACACACACACAATCGGGCTTTGGGTATAAATCAGTTTGAGTGTCAGAAAGAGGACAGGTGATAAAAGCAGGCACATATGAAGTCCCAAATGCACCTGGTTTCAGCCTGACTCAACTCTCCCTGTGCTCCATTCACAGACTGAGGCTGAGGATGAATGTGTTAGGAGGGAACCAACAGGCTGGGTAACCACACCAGAGAAAGCTCAAAATAAACAAAAACACCCTTTGCTACGTGTAGCTGATGGGATTTTACGCTTTTGCTTTCACAGAAATCAATTTAATAAGGAAGAAAATAATGTTACATTGCTTCTAACCAAAGCAATGTCTAAGATTTGTGTCACTTTATATGTCGGAATTTGCATTAGAGGACCAGGTGATTTTCTTTGAATATCTATCTCCTTGTAAGTCCTTTTTGGATAAAAGCATCTTCTAAATGCAAAAATTGAAATTGAATATGATTTGACTGATAAGTTTACAAGTTGGAAAAAATAAAGCTCTTGAAAGTAGTATTTGGGATTCACTCATATTCAACATGGATGAGGTAAATACCTTATATTGCTGCTGTTTGTCTGGTTTGTTCAGCCATCTTTTTGAAAAATTACGTAATGTTATAGACATAAATAATTCATTATAATTATGCATTTATAAAGACTTTACACACGATGTGCAGAATTAATATATAAAACAGCTTAGAAATCAGACAAAAAAAGTAAAAAATTATCTGAATGCTAAAGAATTTTGACAAAAATATGTAAAACAGCCCAAATGTGGTGGCAAGGGGCCAAATTGACATTGCCAGACAAGAAGAAATGAGAAAATAAAAGTAGGATACCCCTTCACCACTGGCCCTGCTCAGAGGCCTTTGGTTTTATAATCTGTCACGGTTATATGACATCAAATAAGGTTCAGGGTTCACCTTACAGGCCCATAAATCACTGGAACTGTCCTTAACACAAATAGTCTAATCTTAACCTTAAAAATGACTACCAAGACGCTAAACATAATTATCCACACGTGTGTGTTTACTTGTTTTTAACTGAAGACGCGCTCAGTTCTGCGGGGCGAGGGGGGGGGGTCATTTTTTGGTTGTTTTCTCCCTGTTAATGTTTCACCGGACGGTTGTAATTCAGCCAATGTTTTATTTACCCCACACGGCCGTGACCTCGATGGGGGAATCGAAGGGGGGGTTTGGGGGGCGTGCAGCGGGCAGCCCTCCCCTTTAAACGTGCTCACACCCCCCTTTAAACGCGTCACTGGCTGGCTGGCTCGTTCCCGGCGGTGTGGTGTGTGCGGTCGGACTGTGGTTGTGTTCCAGGTCTGATCGTGTAGATAACCAAACGCTCCGGACGCATTTCGTCGCGTAGAGATGGGATTTCGGAAGATATGGCTCTAAAACAAATGGCCCTAACGCTGCTCGCCCTGCTTGGGTTGGCGGCTGTCGGTGATGGTAAGTTCGATCCGGGCACCTCTCCGGCTTTTGTCTCGATGTGTTTTCCTGGACCGGGCATCGCCTGTTGTCGCTAATCGTCATGGCGCTCTGAATCGGGGATTTGGCTAGCCCTATCTGGCTAGCGTTGACCTCGAAACGGTTGCTTGCTGTTTGCTCTCGACAGACACCTCGTTCCCCCTATGGTGGATTTCCCCCCCCACATCGTTCTTTTAAATGTTGGTTCCAATGACTACGGGGGTGATAACAGCCGCTAATGACGAAGTAGCGAGTAGCTAAACCACAACAACAACATGGTGGAGCTGAGTGTCGAGGCGCCAGCTAACGTTTGCTAGCCAGCTGTCTGAAGTTGAGTAATGTTGATAATATTGCTAGTTTTCACGCCGACTGTAATTGTTGAAAAATGTCCAATTTACAGTGAGATACAGGGGTGGTAATAAGGGATTAAAGTTCACAGATAATTCTCAAGTTAATCTCTCCGGGGCTGATATGCTAACATATTTACAAAACAAGCCCTTGCTGGCCTGTGCCCGCTTATCATTGTATTGCTTGGGACACAGTTTAATGATAGTTGGTTGTTTAAACGTGAACGGCGTGGTCAATTACAGTTGTTGGGAGTGCTGGTTTCCACCTTGGAAGGTGCACAAAGGAGCCTCTGAACGGAGGACTAACCCACTTTGTGCATGAAATGTGTTATTGTGGGTAAACACTGGCAGCTCTTCCATTGGTGCCCATTTGTAAGGAGTGAAAAGGCTGCTTAGTGGCCTCCAGCAGAAAGTGAATGCTGGCATAGGGCGACAACAGCCGTACATTCAGCCATCCCAGACACAAGTCAGAGTTGAAGTCTGGGTTCATTGTGATGGAAATGCGGTGAGTGGGGTCTTTTGAGGCGCTGGCTATGGGGCTTCTTCAGTCTGCGTCCTCCCCATCTGCTGGAGCAGCTGATACCAAACTCCACACATCCCCCTCTAATACACACCCTTCACACCAGGGCCGGATGGATTTGACTCCAAAGTAGGCTTGGTGTGGAAGAACACATCTTTATATGCGCTGGAACTGTTAAAAGATAAGTCAGGCGTTTTTTTATACAGCTGAATCATCCTTTCCATAATCATAAAAATGGTCCTCCCCCGCCTCATTTGGGCAGGTTTGCCGTACACCAACGCTGTCCTATAAGTGTGTTCTGGGAAATTTATCACACCTGTGTGGCTTGTTTGTTTGACTAGGCCACTCCAACTTTAGCAGGGATATGTGAGGACAAGAGAGGCGGTGGGACTGAGGCAACAACGGACACAGGGCGATGGCTGGCCTGCCCAGCTGCCAGTGGTCTGTCGTGTAAGGAGCCATTGAGTCTGTCCTAGCACATAGTTTCACGCTACAAAATGGATTACACCACGCTAGGGCTGGAACCCGACTAACCTGAATGTTTCCACGCTAGAACAGATTCCAGACTCGTCTGTTTTTGGGTGACATTACACTTTACTCACAGGGCCGAGTGACACTTTTTGTGGACTTCTTGTGGGCCGAGACTCGCTGACGTTATAGGCATTACGTGACTCTGTGACACAGTCGGCTTGTGTGCATTGAACACAGGAGCAATGCGATATGGGTACTGTCAACTCCACTGCCTTGAGGCAGGGCGCGTCCCTCCCTTTCTCACTCCATGCTCTCTATCTCTAATATAAAGGCCGAGTGCTTTGTCAGAATTTAATCTGTACTCCCAGTTCAGCCTTTATTCACCCCATTGCCTCCAGGGTGCCGAAAAGAGCTTAGGGTTTGGGTGTTTTTTTTGTTTTTTTTCATTCTAGGGTTGAAAAGGCTGTTTTGTCAGATAGGCCTTTATCTCTTGAGCTCTGCATCCACCCGTTGCACCCTCCCACACAAGTTTTGTCATTTCCAAATGTGTCGCTGTGTAAATCAAACACAGGTCCGTTGGGGACAGGGAAATGTACAACTGAACAGAGGGGGGGGGGTTCTCACAGGTGCTGTTTAATGTTACGTTCACCATATTTGAGGTGAGTGAGTTCAGGTGGTGAAAGTCTGAGCTAGTCAGATTGGAACATGTGCACACCTGCCTATTTAATGATATCATGGGGAATGTACAAAGAGAGACTTTTTGGGTTCAAAGGTGTGTGTCTCCTCGGATAAGGAAGAAGATACATTCAATTCCCTCCAAGTTTATGATCGAAACTTGTAGATTTCTAACAGGTGTATATTGTTTTTGTCTTTTAGCTATAGTAGAGGCTAGATTGAGATCAAGTGACTGCAGCACATCTTCCGAGTGTGTGTGTATGTATATGTGTGTATATATATAAAAAATATGTTTTTGACAGGTTGCTTCTGGGCTCAGAAACCTTCCCCTTGGCGTCCGTGTTTACCAACAGTTTCTATAATCTTGTACTGAGCCAGTCAGGGTCAGGTCGGGTCTGGGGTGGTCTGGTTTTCTCTCGATAATGACAAGTATTGTTAATGACCTCCGTTGGCCTAGAGGCACTGAGCTCTAATTGCTATAGCAGACAGCGTAGCCCCTGACTGACCCAGCTTTACCATTACCGACGTTGGACCACTGGGGAATATTGCCAGCACACTGACTGTGCATATTAATGTGTGTTTAAAAAAAAAAAAGCCACAGGTTAAAAAACTCAGTTTTCCTTTTACATGCCTTTGAACTGTAATTTTCTGCTGGGAAGTGTACAGTCTGCTTGTCCACCCGCTCTCCAGAACACAGATGATGATGGTGCTGTGAAAGGTGGAATCCAGGTTATATCTGTGAGTTTGAGGGCTTTTGCTCGGCCCAATCCGATAAATACTCAAATACTCAAGTGAAAAATCATCTCAAATAGGGGCAAAAATTGCACAGTGTATGCCCAGCTTTAGTCTCCAGTTGCGTCACCCTGGTCTTAAAAGTCTCAAATAGCAGATGCATTGATTTTTAGAGCTGCAGCGTACTTAAGCATCATAAAAGCAACTTTGATCAATTTGAGCACCTGCAGAAGGAGCTCAAAATAAGCTCATGCTCTCACTTGTTTGCCTTTGATCCCATCCAGGACATCAGACAGACAGACAGGATGGGCTGTAGCCTACGGGGGGTGGTTGGTAGAGATAGTAGAAGAAGCCAGGGCCCCGCGAGACCTCGCTTTAGAATCAGATCAGTAATCTGACCCTCAGATGCAGACAAAGGTAATGACTTTCCTCCTTCCCGAAGCATTGATTAGGACACAGTTGTAGTGTGCACACGTGTGCGGCTTTCCTCATGTGTGTGTGCGTGCTGCACTCACACTGTCTGGTGGCGTCTGCGTGTCTTGATCAGCTCTCAGTCTGGTATCTGCACGGATCTGATTTCAGCCGGTGCATTTTGGTAATGGTGCTCTCCTCCCTCACACACGCTGGGTTAGCGTAAGCCGCAGCCCCGCGCCGCTGCGCCCCGGCGTGTGTTTTTTTTTTTTCTTCCCCAGACTTTCACCCACGCTGGGGAGTGCACGCCCGTTCTGCGCGAGCTGGTGCGGACAACAGGCGGGCATTGTTGTGGGACCGTGCCGCGGTTTTCTGTTGGTCCAACTTAAGGCGAAGCTGTTCGTGGCAACAATGTTTTATTAATCCCTTCCTCGCCGTGTCTGCCATTTCCTGTCTCAACAAGAACGGAATGATAGGAACTTGACACACTAGCAGCTGAAGGGAATGGCTCCTGTGGCCTGTTGGGCTTGTTTTTCCTCCGCCGGTCCCCTTTCCTGCTCCCTCCTGTAAGTCAAAGTCTAGACTGGGTTTTAATGACACTCGCAGCTGGTCACTTGGAGACCTCAATCCTGC